AACCGTAACTTGCAGGCTTCCTGGTACCTGAGCGACGCTGCCATGCATTTCCTGTAACCGCAATAATCTCACGATGGCCATGTACCTGCAGAGCAAACCCCTCAACGTAGAATACCTGATGATGGATGCCTCTGTACTGCTGCCCCCTACTGGGACCCCGTTGACGGGCATCGACTTCGTCAAGCGCCTGCCATGCGGAGACGTGGAGCGGACGCGGAGGGTGGGTCCTGTGTGTGGGGGCGGCTCAGTTTGCCCTCCAGTAGTCACGGGTGATGACGGGCTTGTTTTGCACTGGGATTGCTGGAGATGTGACGCTTTCTCTTCCCCGTTGATCCAGGCAGTGGCGGTGCAGTGTGTACTTGCGCGTGACCCGCCGTCTCTCTCCTCACGCAGGCCATCCGCGTTTTCTTCATGCTGCGCTCGCTGTCGCTCCAGCTGCGGCGGGAGCCAGAGACACAGCTGCCCCTCACGCGTCCAGAGCACCTCATCAAGATGGACGACGTGCTGGATCTCAGTGAGTCACACACGCACACGCACACGCACACGCATCACGGCCTCACTTCCTGTCACTTCTTTAAAAGCCCTCCGGGGGTTATTTTTAAATTCTCTGACTCATCTTTCCTTGACACGGCCGGCAGCTGTAGCTGCGGGGGCCTGAGGGGGGCGCCTTTCCTGTCTGCGCCAGGCGCTTTACTGTAATGCTCTGGGACGACGCCAACGCAGACGGCCACCTTTGCCACTTCCTGTCCCGGCCCCCCCTCATGCTGCACCATCCACGGGCTATGATGTAGCATTTAAATGTGCCTTGTCTGGCTTTGACCCTCCCGGCCTCAAGAGGGAGCCGCTGACACCCCCAGCCCCACCCAGGGGGGGGGGTCACTCTCTGTCTGTCAGCCCCCACAGACAGCCGCATGCCGTCATTACTGTTGCTTTCTGGAAAATTCAAGTATCACGTATTACAAGCCGTGTTTCTTATTGAAGTGAGCAGAACGTTGACATGACAAACATGAGCATTAATATCCAGTGTTGTGGCTTTTTGCTTTTGGACATTCACTGCATGTAAATTCTGGATTTGCACTGTGGTTGTTTGCAGTCAGCACACGTACGAACACACACACACGTATGTAAATAGTGTGCTGAAAAACGGGGGAAACTAATCATACGAATAATAGTACAGACAGAATAAGCAGGTGTTTCTTATCACGGTACGTTTGTGTGTGGCAGCGGGAGGGGCCCTGAAATTTTAGTGTCACCATGGCAACAGGGTAGCGCCGGATGCTGGAGGTCTAATCCGTGATGGGGCTGGCTTTACCCGTGAGCAACATCTATTTTTACACACTCAGGAAGTAACCCCCCCACCCCCC